GAAGGTTAGGAATACTAAATCTGTAGCATACATAGCACTCTTACTCTCCTATGTACGTCATTATGCATAATGGCAACAAGAGCCTCATTTAACAGTAAATGAAATAGTTTAGGGGTTCCAAATAAAAAGGAGACAATAAATAGGAAAAGAAAGCTTTGCATATGCTGGAAGGAGTTATTCTAAAGTTTTATCCTTGTAGAACAAGAACTTGCAAAGTTCGCTTCTTTTTCCCAGAGTTTCCACAAAGTCATGGAGTCACTTCCAATTTGTCATGCACTAAAGGCAAAATATCACCTTTTACTTCTGATTTTATTTCATCTCAGCTAGCTCCACGGTACACCACTTATTAAAAGCCTGCTCCAAAATAACAAAAAAACCCAAACAAAACCACAATACGGAAAGGAAAAATAGCACTATGTACAGGGCAATAACCAGTTCTACAGGAGAAGCCTGCCTCCTTGTGGCTCAACCAACCGTTAATCAGATTTCTCCATTCCATTACACCCAGTAAATCTGGTGAGCCCAGAGTAACAAGCTTCTAGTTCAAAGTGGTTTTGGATTTGGTGTTGTTGGGGTTTTCTGGGGGGGTTCCTTTCTTTTTCTTTTTTTTTGGGGGGGGGGATAAGGGAGAGAGAGTTGATGAAAAAGAAATACGTTTCTAATTTTAAGAAGCACTGGCAAAAGTTACCCTTCTCTTGTTACTGAAAGATTGTTTTTAGCCTCCTCCTTTACATAGCAAAGGGTGGGAAGGGACAGAGGTCCAACATAAAAACAACTGACACTCTTTACATGGCAACAAAAGATTGCCAGCATTCTGGCACCTAAATCCAGGAGGCTCCAAACCTTGGCTCAGCTGTAGCTTAACCTAGCAGGCCCCTCTTGATGCCTTAGCTTTTAACAGTAAATGCCCTTGCTGCCTACAGGTGTCCTCTGGGGTATGCCTAGTAGGATTTCACTCTTGGCAGCAGTGAAGCATTGAGTGCTTCCGACAAGATGCAGACATTCCTCCGTCTTGCCTGAAGGGCTCAGTTACAAGGGGCTACTCTCTTAATGCCTAGAAGAGCAAGTTCTTTTGGAAACAGCTGGAGGTTTTGGCTGGCAGTGGTTTTTTGGGTTGAGTTTGTTGGGTTTGGGTTTTTTCCAATCCAGTCACTCTACTGTGCAAGAGCTTGGTGGTTAAAGAACTCAAAACCTGTGTGACGAAGAGTCAAATTCAAATCCACACTCTTCAGAGGGGATCACATCACAATGACTTTGGCTTGGGAGGGTATGAGTAACTTTCTACCCATTTTTCACCAGCTGCTCCACATTGTACAAGCCTGGAACACAGAGCATAAACCACTTTTGCTGTGGGTTAGGAACTTCAGTCACAAAAAGAAGGGAAGTTCCAGTCTCCATTCCAAAGTCTTTTTTAATATAAAACACATTAAGTGAACATAAAAGTAGCCCACATTTTCTTACATTCTCGCAACTGTAGGGCTTGCAAGTTTCTTTCTTACGTGTTACTGCCTCTCTTTTGCAAACTGTTTCTCTAACCTTTACACAAGTGAATCAGACTCACTCTTTCCAATCTATAACCCAGTGGCTAGAAAACGAATGAACTGAACATGGCTCTCCTGCGCTTACAATCATTTTAATTGGACATTCACTAAAGGTGAGAAGAAAGCAAAAAGAAACACTTTTTCCCCCTCCAAGGACATTTTGAATTAAAGGCTTCGACTCTACCCTTCTTTTCAAGAATTTATTTTTTTTTTTAAAGACAAAAAAGAAAAAGGTTGCCACACCCAAAATTCCAGACATGGAAGACACCACTTCTTTCTACTACAGTTTTATGCCTAGGTCCTGAGTGAGAAACACTGCACCTTCCTAATGTTTTTGTTATTACTATTCACACATTTACCAATGAGACAGCTTCTACCTTGTGTGCTTTAAACACTTTCATGCCAGTTCAGCTCCTATCAGGCCAGAGCACTGCACGCAAGACTGTGGATTCCACTGCTGTCGCCAGGGGCCAAAAGTCTGGTCAAGGCTGTACCACACACTGCAGCATTCAAATAGCTCCATAGATCTCATTAGAAAGTTGTAAACAGAGAACCAAAACAAGTACAAGCTTACATGAACGCAGACACTATTCTAATAACAAAAGCAAGGGGAATAAAATAATAATAATCACTCTTCTTTTACTCAGGTGCAATGCTGGCAAAGGGCAAACATCTTCAACTCCACTGAAGAGAAAGTGAATGGTGGTGCACATCATACAGCAGGACTGGCTGCCGTACTAAACACATCCAGGACATCTGGATAACAAACTAGCTCTGTGTATGGAAGAAGAATCACCCTCGTGGAAAAAACATTCTGTTTGTATAACTAGGTCTGTAATTAACAGGTAAATTGCTTACACAGTTGGAGAACTATCCCCTCCCAGCTTTTGTAATTTTATAGTCTGAACACTGCAGAAACTTCAATTTACTAAAGGTGATGTTCTTCTGTACAAACTCCATTCCCATTATACTGAAATAGTGGGCAAGTAATAAGGACTACATGAAGTCATACACACAAAGAAATTTACTACAGGAGGGTTTCTGTTCCTAAGTTTAAGACAGTTTGTGTTTTTGCTTTATACCAGGGTCTGACACTAAGTTAATAAGCCTTTTATTGAGATTCAAAAGCCATTACATTACACACATCTTCCTCTACTTACATTTGTTAACCTACGCTGAGGCGCAGGATTAAATTTTACGCTTCACTGACAGAAAATAGAATCCTAAATCACCAATGCACGTATAATTGTTAATTTCCCCACTTGTTTCTTGTGGTCACAGTACCTACTTTCTTCCTTACCGCAGTTTAACTTTAAACTTTCACATTTTTAGTCCTAGCACTGTGCTTCATCAAATGTCTCATTTTCTTTAAATTATCTTTCCTAAACTCTCCCAATTACCCAGACCAGCAAGGTTTACTGAACTTCACACAGAATTTTAATAAATCATACTACTGAAGCACGTGTCAGTATATCTTAAAACCATAATAAAAACTCCTGCTAATATCAATAATAAAGAGCAGCAGGTTCCAGTAGATTAGGTACTAGCCTCATACCCAGAAAAACTGGTTTATTTTCTATTTTATTCTCACCTAGTCTTCTAGGTGACCTTGGGCAAATCACTATCCCCAACCTTGCAGTTTCTCCAGCAGTAAAAATGAATTGAGCAGAGTTGCAAATCTGTCTGGAAACTCCAAATGAAGCATAATATAAGAGTTAAAAATGTATTTCCGTATCTGCAGATATATTTGGCTTGATAGCTTTTCTTTATACCACTACACATCAGCAGCAGCCCAAGACTGCTTTTCCTTTCTAAATACACTCTGGTGGTTCTTCAAGAAAGGCTTTATAGGCTACTGCTTTACTTTCTATCTCATGCTTGATCTATTTCTGCTCCTGTATCTACTTTGAAGGACCAAGAGCTTGTATTTAGCAATACACACTTAACACTTACTTTAATATATAATGTCAAAAGCTGCTGTTGAACACATTCCTAAACTACAGGGAAAAGATATAACAGGGCACATCAGAACAGAGAGCCAATTAGCAACGAGCAGCAACTCATTCTCCAGACCCCTGCTCATGTAAGTAATCACGCAAGTATTTGCTTTCACAACCTGCCACGGGAACCAGTCATCAGCAGAATTTTACTGGAGATACACGCACTGATGAACCAAACTGCAGCACAGCAACGTGAAGAGATTCCTCTCCTTATACACGGCTACATTTAAGAAAGGCTACTTTTCACTTAACAGGAGACTGCCATTTAATTAGCAAATAACACTGCTTAGCTGCGATGCACTTCACTCACTTGCCCTCTTCCCACTACCGGGTTTTCTGAAACAGATGCAATTCTGAGATGCTTTATCCCCTTTCCTGTTCCAAAATCTAAGGTCTAAACAATCTCTAAAAATCTCTTGTCTTTGGTAGGCGCTCTTTTCCATTTTTTTTTTTTTTGGGGGGGGGGGGGAGGGGGAGGGAAAGTCCACCAAAAGAAAAAAAAAAGCACGCTTACTCATAATTAGTTAGTGGATAAAGTTGTCACTTGACACATCATGCCACGAAACCCTGGTTTAATTGACATAAACATGAACTACGAAGCACTTAACTCCCAGTTGCCTTCCTGACCAATGAATTACTACAACACACGGAGAAATTTACTTCATAAGTTGATGGACAGAATAAGGAAAGCTTAGTCCTGTGCTGTCAATAGACAACTTCTTGGAGGATAGCAACTGAGCCGTTAAAAAAAAAAAAAAGGAAGAAACAGACCTTCCACATCACAGACACGAAACGTGACAAATCCAGCTATTCCCTGAAACATTGCAAAACAGATCCGAAAACGCTATCTTCTAGGCTTAGCGCTAAGGAGCAAGAAAACCACTGTGCATCCAAGAGGGAAGACAAACGGGGAAATGAATTTCCAGCTCGGACCCTCGCGTGTTCTCGAGGTGGGAACACGATCCCAAACGACTCCGGTGAGGCGGGGGAAGGGAAGAGAGGAAGAAAGGGGCAGAGACTATCTGCTGGGAGGGGAGCGGAGCGGAGCCAAGCCGAAGCGGGCCCCCCATCCCCGGAGAGCAGCCCAGGTCCCCGCCCGCCCCATTCTCCCCTCCCACACCAACTTCCCCCGGCCCGGGACGTGGCCGGTCGCAGTTGGGTAGGGAGCGACGTGACGAGGCTGAAACCGGTCTGAAGTCCACAAAGAAGCCATCTGCCTCCGGGAAGCGGGCTGGGGAAGGGCGAGCGGGCTGGGGACAAGGAGAAGCCGGCGGGAGTTTCACCCCGCCTGAACGCCAGAGCCCCCCCACCAGCAGGGATGAGGGTCTACCCCGCCGCAGGAACGGGGAGCGCCGCTCCCCGCCCAGCCCGGCCCGAGCCGCCCCGCCGCTGGGGCACGGATCAAGCACACCTTCCCCGCCCGCCCCGCGCCGCGCCAGGCTCCGGGCTGGGCTCTCACCTTCCTGCCGCCGCCGCTGCCGCCAGCCAGTGCGGCGCTGCCGCCCGAGTACATGTAGTAGGCGATGCCCAGCACCCAGAGGAAGGCAAAGCAGAGCAGCAACCGAGACCTGCGCCGCATCCTCCCTCCCTCCCGCGCCGCCGCCAGGCCACCAGGAAACGGCCAGCAACAGCCTCCACTCCTGCCGCCGCTGCCGCCGCGCAGGGTCAGGGGGCAGAGGGCGAACGCCCGCCCCCCGACCAATCCCGAGCCCGCCCGGCCCCGCGGGGGGCGGGCCGGGGCTACCGGCGTCGCCATGGTTGCAGCACGCCGGGCCGCCGCCTCCTCGCTCACTGGCCGGGGGCTGCGCGCCCCCCGCGGCCGCACGGAGCGGGCCCGGCGCTGCTGGACCCTCCGGGCCCTCTCCCCAGCGGTTGCCTGGGAGCCAACGGCCTGGCGGCAGCGCGGGTAACGCTCCCCCCCTCTGAAGCTGCGGGGCCGAACCTCTGTCCCTATCCCGGCTGTGCCTTTCCCGGGCCGGCCTGAAGTGGCCGGGCCGTGCTCGCAGCGGAGCGCCTGCAGAGCCGTGCGGTCTGGGCCCGGGCCGCCGCCTGCCTCCGGCCGAAAGCGGCAGGGGGCCAGTAACCGCGCTCCGTGAGTCTGGGTGCCGGCTCCCTGCGGAGCGGCGGCACGGGCAGCGCCGGCGGCGGGACCCCGGACTTGAGTGGTCCCGGCTCGCTGGTGGCTGCACACGCATCCAGTGCAGTGTCCGAGCACCGTCGTGCACCACTGATGTGTCGGTCGTTCCTCATTTGGGTTGTCCCGCTCCCACCCGTATGGCTGGTTATACAGAGTCTCCCAGTTCTCAGAAACTCCAGACTGGCCACCACAGGTCGTCTGTCTGTCTTTCCGTGGGAACAGCAGGGAACAGGTAACATGCTCTATGAAGGTGCTGTCCTTGAAGTCACTTGAGGCAGGTCTTCATTAAACCTGTAAGGTGAGAAAGTCGTGTTGGATGATGTCCAGTGTCATCTGTGTGACAGGTATCTGCATATCATTTGATAAGCCTCTGCCTGATGTTATCTAAGAGATTCTTCCATGGGCTTAGGGGAGACATCAAGGTCCTGACAACCCCACCTTCTCGCTGAGGTGACACATCTGCTCGCTTTACACTCCTGGGGTCTCTGCCTGGATTTTCACAGGAGGTTGACCCTTATGGGGCTCCACTCTTAGAGACTGCTCTGCTGATACAGGGTCATTGCTTGTTAAAATTACCTTTCTTCCTGCTTACCTAGTTCCACCCTTAATCGCCTCAGGACAAATGCCACACTGCTGCTGGCTCTCACTGTGTTTCACTGACTGGGGTGTGCACAGCTCATGCTACTCTTTTTCCACACCACTGAATTTCCTGTTGTTCAGAATTCGCTGCTATCTCATCCTACTGTGAGACATCGAGAAATGAGAACACAAAACTAAGAAGGGAAGAGACATTCCCTAACAACTAAAAACCACCTCTATTTCAGAGTCATGGTATCCACTCAAAGCAGAATATTACTGTTTTTTAAAGTTTTTCTGTCATCTCACCATGTTTATCAATAAGCTGATTTACTGCAACCCATTCTGACTGTACCCTGCATTTCTGTTCTCCTTCTGTTTATATTGATGTGAGACCTCTGCCAGCCCAGAGCTACAGAGCCTCTATAAAAGTCTTCTCCCCAAGCCGTGCCAGGCTGTGTCAGGGTTCTGGCAGAAATTCTGTTTCAAGAACAGGAAAAGATCCAGCAGCCAAAAGAAATGGCAGTGAAAAGCTCACCTGCTCACCAGCACAGTCACTCCTCTGACAGTCTTGTCAAGGAGTTGATTCATGTCAGTGTTGGCACTGACTGGGCAGAAGCTGTCTGGCATGCAAAGGTTTCAGTGAATAACTGTTTACCTTCTCACCTGCCAGAGCCCTGATGGAGAGATAGGGTGGATGAAAAGACAAAGGAAGAAATCACAGATAAGTATTCAACCAGGGAATGTAAAATAAAGAGATCATAGAATCATTAAATGGTTTAGATTGGAAGGGACCTTAAAGTTCCAACCCCTCCCTACCCCAGGCAGGGACACCTCCCACTAGACCAGATTGCTCAAAGCCCTGTCCAGCCTGGCTTTGAGCACTACCAGGCATGGGGCAGCCACAGCTTCTCTGGGCAATCTGTACCAGTGTCTCACCACCCTCACAGTAAAATGTTTCTTCCTGATGTCTAATCTAAATCTATCCTCTTTCCATTTAAAGCCATTCCTGTCTGTCCTATCATTCCATACCCTTGTAAAATCTCCCTCTGTGGATTTCTTGTAGACCTCTTTTAAGTACTGGGACCTGCTGTAAGTTCTCCTCGGAGCCTTGTCTTCTCCAGGCTGAACAACCCCAACTCTCAACCTGTCTTCATAGGAGAGGTGCTCCAGCTGTCCAGTTATCTTCATGGACTTTGTCTCCTCTAGACTCTTTCTTCAGAGTAAATGACTTTTTCAGTAAACTCAGCATTATGATTCTTGGTTTTGAAGGGAGTTGGAGAGAGACACCCACTTTGTGCAAAACACAAGTGTTGGAGTCAAACAGCTGGCACCTATTGAAGTGAGGTACACTGGAGAGTGTGGGCTGCCAGGAGACATGCACGTGTTCTAGATTAGAGTTTTTGATTTATCCAAAGTGTGTTTGATGCAAGTGAGAACAGTTCCTGCAAAAGCACTGATTGTGCCTGGGTCTAAAAAGACACACACACACATGTGCGCACACACACTCCACCCCAAAGGCTAAGTTTTAATTAGCAAGATTTTCTGTAGAATTCAGAGTACTCTCAGCAGCCCAATCTTGTGAGTATCCTCATAAACTCCTGCCACTTAAGCTCTACAATCAGCTAGACATGAGATGAAGAAGCAGCTCCCCAGCTGCTGGGGGATTCCTTTGCTGGGCAGATCTGCTTAGGAAGAGGGTGTTCTGCACTACATGCTTCCCCACAGAAAACATGTGTGCCAAGCACTCAGTTCTGGAAACATAATCCCATTCAACTTTACAAAATCTGCTGGCCACTTACTCTTTAAACTCCTTACAAAACCTACAGAATCCTTTCTTGCTCTTTTCGTAGTCTAAAAGATCTTGGGACGGTCTCCAACGGTGTCCCTGCAGCCCCGCAGGTATTTTCACTGATTTTAGCAATGTGCTTACGTAGATTTTTCCCTTTCCAGCAAAATTAGTCAGCCATGCATGTACAGAAAATCATTCTGTAGCTGCACACTTCACAAGCTTACCAAAATAATCCACTGCACATGCTCAATCGCAGTTTTCAAAGATTTATACCTCAGTCAAATCAAAACTAATTTCTTCTTGAACAAGCAAATACATGTCTTCTTCAAGGAAGGCTACTTCTATGTCAGAGTTCATTTTTCAGTCTTCTGCTGATAAAGTTATAGAAATGCTCAAAAAAGGCTGTAAAATCCTATCTAGTTCAATAAAAGTTGTGGGGTTTTTTTTTTCACTCTCATGATATTCTGAACTGGCTGAACCAGTTTTGTTCAAATCTGTCCAAAATATTCACATTTGGACAAAGTCCCAATCTGGCAGATTTCATCCTGAATCATTTATACTTCAGAGACCACAGAAAACACAGAGGTTTAGAATGGAAAATATTACATTGCTTTAACTCTAGGAAAAGCTGCCTGTTCCATTACAATGCATTCGCGTGCGCATACCTCTTTCCTCAGAAGTCCTAACGTGTTTAGTCAGAAAAGCAAGACTGGGGGAAAAAAAAAAAAAGGAGGCACTTCAATTAAAGCAAGGAACTCAAGAAAAATATAAGATATTTTTAATTGATTTTCCCACTGCATTTCAAAAGAAAATATTATCATATTTTAAAAGCAGCATTGCTAGAATGATTCACAGAATATAAATGCTTCTGTATCAACCACAGCCCTTAAACACAAGAGAGATGAAAGCATGTGAGAGTACAAATAGGAGTGAATTTTGCAGAAGGAATCATCAAAACTTTGTCTTTGATCTGTAGGGAAGACACCTAGCTTCAGTGGGACAAATTGTGATCTAGTTAAGTAGGGTGTAAACCAGAGGGAATTTGACTGAATTTATCTGAAAGCAGGTATAAAACCAGACACAACTGCAACTAGAGTCTAATTCAGAGTGTTAGTGTTCATCTTCTTGTAACTGAAGACCACAAAAGCTGCTCGTCTTTTTCTGGAGCAAAATGACCTAGTCAGGGTTCAATGAATCCTCAGACAGGGCAAATGGAAAGCAGACCTCACCTTTAGGAATGAGTCAATCCCTTACTCATGCAAGCAATCTTGTCCTTGCAAAGACAGGAAGGAGGATTTTCAGATCAGGTCTAAACCACAGAAAATATCTTTAAAAGCTTTAAAAGGCCGAAAATCCAACCAAGATGCCTGAACCTCTTTGAAACACGGAAGCTATTATGTTGCTGATCCAGTTCAGATTACATTCCTTCAAATGTGTGCAGTTATTTCAGAAAGTATATCATTCCTCCTCTCTCACGAGAAAAGTTACTCATTAGCCTAATATAAACTGTTCTATAACATAGAAATCACACATAAATGTGAAATTTAAAATACATCTGTAGAAGACATAGGTTTATTAATGCCCTGAGAGCTTGAGCTGAGTACTCAGCCCGAGCTGAGTTTGTGTTTGTAGTGCAAGAATTGTGTCTGTATTGAACGATACTGATCCTGCAAACATTTATGCAAATGTTTAACTTCATTCAGTGCGTATTCCCATTGGAGTTGGTCGGACTACTCAGACGTTTAAAATTATATGCTCATGGCTGAGTACTTGCAGGATTAAAGGTTAAGTGCAGATAGCAGGTCTGAAAATCTATGTGGGTGTTTTGCAATTCCTCACTGCACAGTGGTAACAATGAGAAACAGACTACCTCCTCAGCTAAAGACTTGGGAGTCAACATGTCCTTTCCCATCTGTTTAGATGCCAAGAACTGTGTTTGTTTAATTTTTCAGCACAGTTTCTGATGCTACCCAGAGTAGGCAGACGTGCTGGCAATAGCACTCGAAAGTGGCTCACTTCCAGAAAATCTTGTTACCCTCCAAGAATGTTTTTTGAGGTGTTAAAACCCCAAGTAGCAAATATTGTATCATGCAGTTTTACCTTGAAAACAGTTTCACCCTGCCTGACTACAGGGTTTGCCATGCAAGGTCCAAATACCTTGAAGCCTTTTAGAACCAGAGCTCTTATCCTAGACTTCCATATTGAGAGGTGGTATCTTCACTTTTAAAGCAATACAAAATGGTTATTTCCCCTGATAGCATAATGA